TTTCCATCTCCTTTGCCAAGTCTGATTTAGAACGTGCTGTAAAATCTGAGTGATAGGACAGGAATGTACCTCAGCAGGATGCTGGCCCGGCACACACAGGGTCCCATCCCAGCACAGGAAAGACTGAATGAAAGCAACAATACTGGTGACGTACAGGGTGGAAGCTGTTTGTTCAGCAGCTGTGCTGGAGGCTGCGGGCTGCGGAGATGCCTAGAGGAGTGGCTGCTCCCACTGTCCCTGGGTAGGGCACTGGTGTCCCTGGGCTGGTGCTGGCTCCAGCCAGAGGAGAGCAGCCTTGCAGTGCTGGTGGGGCTGTGGTAGTCGGCGCCCCCCCTGCATCGGGTCTCCTGGGTAAGGGTCAGGACCACCACTGCAGACCCTGTACAGGCTGGGTGACAGGCAAAAGTAGCCTGATTCGGGGTTCTGGACCCAGCTGGATTGGAAGCATTTGGAGCCGCAGGAGCCCCATGGAGCACGGGGAGGCTGCTTGTTGGTCTGCTCAGCTACAGAGGTGGTTTTGACAGAATTTCTGTTTCAGAGACAGATTCTCAGGGCAAAGAACCCTGATGTGGTTCCAATGATTTGGGCTAGGGAGAAGGAGCGCACTGGGTCATCAGAGACAGGTGACAGGGCAAGGGAAGCTGCCCGCAGGCCACCTGCTGAGACACATTAAGAGGCCATGCAAAGAGGAAGACAAGTGAGTGTAGACCAAGCTTTCAAAGACTGCTTCTGGCTGTAAGAAACCTCCCCAGAACTCAAATGGAAAGGCGATAGGAAAGGCCACCACGGCCATCCCCTAAGATGCCTGCAGGTTAGCCATGCGGCCACGACGCACTCCTCTCCTCTGCCCAAGTTGCAGGACCTCAGTCCCTCCCAGTCCTGGCAATGCTTGCAGTCTTAGCCGCAGGTCCAGGGGCTGGGGAGCCCTTTCCTTGGAGTCACACAGCAGTCCATTCCTGGGAGATGTACAGGATACCCTGGGGCACTTCGGAGATGATCTGACTCCTGGAAAATGCAGTCCACAGCCACTGCCGCAGGACACCTTTTTGGGGGACTGGTAAGATAGCTCAGTGGTCTAAAGTATCTGTTTAGGGTTCAATCCCCAGCACCACATGCCACATCAGCCCTGCCCCCAGGGTGGGCTGAGCCAGCCACACACACACACACACACAC